CGGTAGAATTTATAGAATATTGTAAAAATATATATATATATATATATATATATATATATATTTGGTGTGTTTGTGTGTGTGTGTTTGTTTGTCTGTCTGTGTGTGTGTGTGTGTGTGTGTGTGTGTGTGTGTGTGTGTGTGTGTGTGTGTGGTCATTTCGATTTAAACGAGTTCTATATAACAGGATTGTACATAGCAGAGTCAGTCATAATAAAAAAGATCTGTGTTCACCATATTGTTCATTTTTTAATGCAAATCTTCTGATGAGTTGTTAATAATAATTTTAAGATTATACAATATACAGACTCACACATACACACACACACACATACACACACCACACACATATACACAAAGACATATATGTATATAAATATAAATATATATATATATATATATATATATATATACATATATAACTTTACATATATGATTATGATTTAATATGCTTAGTAATTGTTGTAATTATTATTATTGTTATTGTCATTAATATTGTAATAAAAAAATTAATAATAATAATATTATTATTATTATTATTTTGTGTTTTTACTGTTTTTTCTTGTTCAGTGGCGTTGAAATCATCGGCGTCTTCATCAGTTGATGGGATGGTTTGCTTGGCAATAACTGTGCATGTATGTGTGAGTTTATGTATGTGCGTGTTTATGTGTGTGGTGTGTGTGTGTTTGTGTGTGTATTTGTGTATGTATGTATGTATGGCTGTTTTTTAGCGGGAAATTTCAAAAGTTAAAAAAAATGAAACAATGTGACAAATGAAACAATTATGAATAAATTATAAATAAAATAGACAGTCACAATCAGAGACACACACACACACGCACACACACACACACACACTGAAACACACACGCACGCACACACACGCACACACGCACGCACAGTAACAAGCATACCGTCAGCAATTGTTTCCATCTCCTCCAACTCATTTTTTTCACTCTTCAAACCATCTTCAACCACATCTGCAGAATCCTGGAACTCTTTCCTCTTCATCTTCTTCATCATAATTCCTAGCGAAACGGCTATCAAGAGACTCGAACCCAGGAGTATTGTGATGCTAATTGCTCGCGAGTTATTTGACGGATCGGCTATCAGTTTCACATTGGATTTGTTTTTGAATGAGTTGATCTCTGATAGGTTGATTGTAATTGAGGTTGTGTGTGATTGCTCTTAGCTGGCTGGTTGGTTGGGTGTCTGGTTGATTGGGTGAATTATACCAACAAAAATCAACAACAACATCATCAACAACAAAAATCAACAACAAAAAATCAACAACATCAACAACATCAACATCATCAACAACAACCACAACAACATCAACAACAACAACATCAACAACAACAACATTAACAACAACATTAACAACAACAACATCATCATCAACAACATCATCAACAACAACATCATTAACAACAACATCATTAACAACAACAACAACAAACCCATAACCGAGCCATTCGGTGCCAGACCAAATCCCACAGCGTGATCGCACTCGGATAACTGTCGGTTGTTTATCATGAGGTAGCTGACGCACTTGCTGTTCTTTGGGCAGTGGCCGTTAAACACGCTACAGTCTGGTGGCCACAACAACCACAACATTGATACTACTACTACTACTACTACTGCTGCTGCTGCTGCTGCTGCTACTACTACTACTACTACTACTACTACTACTACTACTACTACTACTTCTGTTACTACTACTACTAGTCCGCTAATAATAATAATAACAATAATAATAATAATAATATCAAAATAACAATAATATAATAATAATAACAATAATTTGTGAACATATTTTATTTATTCAATCGACAAAATAATAATAATAACAACAATAACAATAATAATAATAATATTACTAAATCCCCGACGGACTTCTAGCATTGCAATGGTCCCCGGACCATCCGAGTAGGCATCTGCCGGAGCAGTCGAGGGATTCTGGGAAGTTGTGGAAGAATCGGAAGATCCTCAAATCCGTCTCATACACGTAGAAGGATAGGACTGAATAATGTGAATAATAATAATAATAATGTTGTTGTTGTTATAATATTACTATTATGAATTAACGAATTGTGAATTGTGAATTACTATTATTATTATTACTATTACTATTATTACTATTACTATTATTATTATTATTATTATTATTATTACTATTATTATTATTATTGTTGTTTATATTTTATGTCATTGTTGTTTTTTATATATATGAATTATAAATGAAATCATAAAATGACCGATCAAACGACCTATCAATCAATCAATCAATCAACCAGCCAACCAACCAACCAAACCAACCAGCCAACCAATTATCTAACCAATCAACCAACCAATCAACCAACCAGCCAACCAGCCGTCCAGCCAATCAAATCATCACAACAAACTAGAATAGACGGAGAATGTTTCTTTCCCCCCACACTGGCGACCAGCTTCATCTGGACACAAGATGCCACACTGACTGATCGAGCTAATCTTCTGAAGC